TCAGCAGGAGAGAGCTCCTCAGAAAGCAGAGGTTGAAATAGGAGTGTGGAGAACATAATTCCTTCATGGTTTAAGGTTAAGTCCTTTGGGAGGTGGAATAGTTTTCACTGATTCAGAATTTTACCTTGTTTTTTTTTTGTTGTTTTGATGTTAACGCAAATGTATAGAAATCAGGGCACTGAATGTTGTAGCCTCAGATTCCATCTTTAACTTATACCATTGCTTACCTCCTCAAGTACTTTAGGACCTTGAACCTCCATGGTGTCAGGCTTTTTGCCAGCCTTTAATAAGCACCTTTTGATCTTGGTAATGACACATCAGTGCTAGCTGAATGGCATTCAGCACAAAAGGTATTTGGTACTTTGCAGGTTTGAACCACATATATTAAAGGGAAAGTAATACTGCTCAGCTGTTTCCTTGAAAAAAGAGGATTTTTTCTTTCAAACAAAAACTTTCTGGCTGCATCAAGTCAATCACAAGGTATTCAAAGATGAAAACCAAAAATTCTCCCCTTACAGGGAAAATAAAAGTAAGGCATATCAACTTGTCTACCATGTCATATTTATTCTGGATAGCTTGCCTCACTGTTCTTAATTAAATTCTAGATTTAAAAAACAAACAAATGAAAACCTAACAAAACCCCCATATAACATTTGATATGGCAGTATTTGAGTAATTAAGAACTCCTTAATGATTTTTCAGCACACACATAAAAATCAAATATTTATTGGCTTTGGGAAAAAACCAGCCCGGTTAAAAAAGTAAGAACCTAAATTACCTGGAATGTGGCAAGGCAACGTCACAGCAAGTGCTACATTAATTAAATCAGAAATAGCACCTCTGTTATGGAACAGAACAAGTCTGTTATTCCAAAAGGTCAAGCTTAGCACTGACTTAATTCCTACTTTGACTTCACGCTCTGAATAAATTGTTAAATCTCTGTGCTGGAGAAATATCTTTCCAGAACTAGCATTTTTAATTTTTCTTTCTTTCCCCCCCGCCCCCCAACTTTAACTTGTTGCCTTCTCCTATCCTGAAATATGTCTGTTTGCAGAAAACATCTCTGGTGGTAGCAGTCAGGTCCCTGCAGAGTACCCTTTGGTGTATGTATGTGATATGAGGTCCCAACCTCCCATTCCTCTCTACATCTGAAAAATGTTTTTGGCAAAACATGGTCATATTACCACTGTCAGTGAGAATCTGCAAGATGTAAGAAAATCACTGGGTAAAGTGCTTTTACTTTTCAGAAGAAGGAACCAGATTCACAAGCTGTACTATGTGATTTACTTGTACACTGACTGCCCTCACCTAAATTGTATTAGAAAATGTTGTACTGCTTCCTTGAACAAACTTGAATTTTGTTTTGTTTTC